GCAATCGTCAGGCCATGCATATAGCATGAAACAGACTGATCGCCTCTAAGTGTTGACTTCTATGTCCTTTTATATTTACACACGCTCTATCTCTGATATTGAGCACTTTATCATAAATATAGCACACCTTAAAGACTATATTTCTTTATATATATATATATATATATATATATATATTGGGTTTGCAGATGGCAGTTTATAAGTGTGAAACTAATTCTTACAGTCACAGTGTTATTGACCAACAGACAACTGTCCTGGGTATGACGATAAACTACATCCGGCAGCAAGACATCTAATCTGAACGTTTTGAGAAGCGTGAGATCACCACTTAATTGCTGTTCTTTTTAGGTCCACCCTGAGCCAGGGTAGCAACACCTGCTATGGTCCCAGAAAATAGTGAACAATCAAACTGGTTTCAAAAAATTAAAAGTACATTTTTTTTTTTTTTTAAATAAATAAATTGCCAGCCATAGATTTTTGTAAAAAGAAAAAATTACCCAAGCTCCCAGGAAAATTAAATTTCGGCATTAAATGACCCATAAAGGTGCTGATAAGCCGTTAAACAAACAAACAGACCAACAGACAATGCAGTACTTGTTTTTATTCTCTTGGGTGCCGTGTTACGTCGAGGCGTAGATGATCATGGCTCTCCACAACTTCATCTCTTTTGTTTTTCTAAATAACTTTAAATTTTTAACATCATTGTTTGTTCATTTTCTACCTTTCATTTACATGAATTCACCAGGTAGGTTACACGCTGTTTCCTCAGACCCACCTGTCTTCATTATTATGTTTTGGGAGTTTTAAATGTTCTATGCCTTCTTACCTCATCATGTGTCCCAGAAAATTAATTCTTTATTCTGATTATTTGTATCAGTTTTATTGTAGCGCTTACATAGCTTAAAACTTCCGCATTACATAAATGTTTCTTGTGATTTTCAATATTCAGCGATATTATCCAATTCCTATTTTTTCAAATCTTTTCTTTATTTAAAAAGAAATAGTACAGCATTCACTGCCATATAGGAGATTAGATATTACATAGAAGTTCACCAGTCTTTTCTTTGCTTCTAAAGACATTTTTATCTCTCTTAATACTTTGCATAGTTTATGAAAGGCATGAGGAGATTGTCCATCATTCACTGCCATATAGGAGATTAGATATTACATAGCAGTTCAGCACTCTTTTTTTTGTTTCTAAAGACATTTTCCTATCTCTTAATACTTTGATTAGATTATGAAAGGCATGAGGAGATTGTCCATCATTCACTGCCATATAGGAGATTAGATATTACAAAGCAGTTCAGCAGTCGTTTTTTTTTTTCTAAAAGACATTTTCCTATCTTAATACTTTGCTTAGTTTATGAAAGGCATGAGGAGATTGTCCATCATTCACTGCCATATAGGAGATTAGATATTACATAGCAGTTCAGCACCCTTTTCTTTGTTTCTAAAGACATTTTCCTATCTCTTAATACTTTGCTTAGTTTATGAAAGGCATTTGTCCATCTTTCACTGCCATATAGGAGATTAGATATTACAGCAGTTCAGCAGTCGTTTCTTTTGTTTCTAAAGACATTTTCCTATCTCTTAATACTTTGCTTAGTTTATGAAAGGCATGAGGAGATTGTCCATCTTTCACTGCCATATAGGAGATTAGATATTACATAGCAGTTCAGCAGTCGTTTCTTTGTTTCTAAAGACATTTTCCTATCTCTTAATACTTTGCTTAGTTTATGAAAGGCATGAGGAGATTGTCCATCATTCACTGCCATATAGAGATTAGATATTACATAGCAGTTCAGCAGTCGTTTCTTTTGTTTCTAAAGACATTTTCCTATCTCTTAATACTTTGCTTAGTTTATGAAAGGCATGAGGAGATTGTCCATCATTCACTGCCATATAGGAGATTAGATATTACATAGCAGTTCAGCAGTCGTTTCTTTGTTTCTAAAGACATTTTCCTATCTCTTAATACTTTGCTTAGTTTATGAAAGGCATGAGGAGATTGTCCATCATTCACTGCCATATAGGAGATTAGATATTACATAGCAGTTCAGCACTCTTTTCTTTGTTTCTAAAGACATTTTTCTATCTCTTAATACTTTGCTTCTTCTTCTGAAAACCAATTTTGAATTTTTTATGTAGATTAGGGTTTCTGTGTTTCATTTTCCGTCACCTGTTACTACACAAACTTACAGCAATATCACTTTGAAACTCCAATTCTCGAAGTTAAGTAACATGGAGCCTGGACACTAGCTAGATGGGTGATCCTGAATTTATTCCCTTTTACTTCTCTCGTCCGTTTTCTTCCAGAGACAATCCACGTTCTGATCTAGATCATTCATTTCAAATCCAGACAAAACGCGACTATCGTTAGCGTGCGAAACTTGATGCGATTTCGTTTATAACAGCAAACAAAATGACAATTTTTTAATCGGTATCAACTTATGCAAGGCAATAAAGCCACTAAGACACAAGGGTTTACACGGTGTGGAAGAATTAGGAACAGAAACAATAATGATGAGCAGAAAAAGAAAAGAGTAATCAAGAGGACACTAGATAGCAATCGACATTGCATTTACATGGTTAAAGTTGGCCGGAAAGCATCGAGCCGGAAAGGAGTTCCATATGCGAGGGTAAATACTGTTAGCATAGAATTTGCCTCTAAATCTATCCAGCTCAACTGTAAATTGATGTGACCTCAAGGCCAATCTAGTACTGCGCTTAAATTCAAAAAGTCTAGGTACAATCGGGAAGAGCTCATCCGAACAATTACCTTGAAAATATTTATAGAAAGGACATAGAGAGGCAACCTTACAGCGGTGGGAATGTGACTGGAGCCGAAATGCCAGATCTGGACCAATAATATTGCAGATTCTTCTTTAGACCTTATCAAGGAGCTCAAGGTAAACACCAGGGGCACCGGACCATATATGGCAGCAATATATTCTAAGCATGGACGAATGGTAGACATAGACATGTAAAATAGATTCTGAAGAGAAAAATTGTCTCACCCAACGAGTCACTTTCCTGGAGGTTAGCATCAGCCATACTGATGGAAGGCAGAGAAGGATCTCTCAGATGATTAATGGAGAGAAGTTTAGTTTTTGAGGCGTTAAAATTAACAAGCCATAATACATATGGCGTTTTTCGGGACCATCTCATAGGTAGAATGAAATAAATGTTTTTGTGGACAAGAAAGCATTTTAATGATTTTGGATGGTAATTATATTGCTTTTGAAAATTTCTTTAGACATTTTTTCACATGCTTATTTAATTTTAAGCTTCCATTTTTACTTTGGCAATTTTAGAGCTTTTTTAATTAGTCCACAGTAAATAGAAGAAGGAACAGCGAGGTGGAATTAACATTTTCTTTAAAAACAGAAATCTATAAAAAGAAAAAAAGATTTAAAAGTAGTGAAAAAGATTTTGGAAAGAATGAATGAATTATTTTCAACCAATTTTAAGTTGATATATATCTCAAAAAACAAAAGGACAGTTGTTCAGAAAAAAAACAAGAAAACTAATTTTGGTTCAAGAAATTTTACCAAACATAGATATAATAACATAGATTGGGAAGAAGATAGATAGATAGATAGATAAAGATAGAAGGAATAGATAGATAGATGAGATAATAATGAACATACTGACATAGATAGATAGATAGATAGATAGATAGAATAGATAGATAGATAGACAGAGATAGATAGATGGATAATATGATGAAAAAGTTTCTTTTCCCTCAAACACACTTAAAGAAGACTGAAAAAAAGAAAAGTTTCTATCACAGATAGATAGAATTTGAAAGATAGATAGAAAGATAGATAGATAGAGAGAGATAGATAGATAGATAGAAAAAAAAGCTTCCATCCGATCCCTTGTTTGGTTAAGGCGGAAAACCATTTATCACCGCCTATCAAGAAGAATATATATATATATATATATATATATATATATATATATATTAATATTTTAACATTAAAAACCTTCTTTATCACAGGAGACGAAAATAAGGCAAATATACAGTTTAATAATTAAACCAGCTTCACACTCATTTGACATTTATCCACTAAAGCAAACAATTCAAATTTTGGATGAAATATAAAAAATTTAAATTCTTCTTTGATGTAATAAAACTGTTTAAATTTCTGTACAGCTGCCATTGTATACGAAAAACGCCGTGTTCTTTAGTTCCAAGCATTTATAAATAACTCTTTTTTTTCTTTCTTTTTCCCATTGCAGGAATCTATCTGTTGGTGGTTCTGTCGAATAGAAACAATCTGTGAATCAATGCTGTATTTGTGCTGGGTAATAAAACCAGAGGGTCACATTTCAGTGCCGGATATTTAATTAAACAAAAGGATGAAACATAATACTAGCACCGGCCCTGTGCCTAAAACCAACAATTTATATTTAAAAAAAAAACTTCGGAATTAAAGATTTGTTAAGGACAATTGAAAACGGTGCGTATTCGACGCGTCGCTATCAGAAACATTGGACATCATTCGGTTGGACACGAAAAGTCAGACATTTATTTACCGAAGAAATGGTCAACTGTATGGAACGAAAGCCGGCCAGCTACGAACGGCTATTTCAGTTTATCAAATTAATTAAATATGCAAAGAAAACTGCAGAAAAGTTTTGAGGCTGTTATTTGTCGAAAATGGCAAAAAATTTACGTTTAAGATAGACTAATGAGTTTTGCCCTTTTGTACCAAGATTGGATAAATATGTTTTTACTCACTATGAGGCCGCCTAACGTTACACTGTAGGTTGACTGTTTTCTCTTCATGTGATGAATTATTGGGATTCTCGATTTTTTTAAATTTTTTTTTAATGGGATGGGATTCAGTCAATATTTTTTTTGATAAAGTTAAGATAACTTTTAGAAAAATTGAAGAACTAAAAATTCCATTTTTCTCTCTAGCTTTTTTCCTTTCTTGTCGGTTCATGCTTTTAACATAAGTAGCTGATAATCGGGAAAAATGACTGACTCATTAGCTTTGCGGGTGTAGAAGATTTTGAGAAAGGGATGGAGAAAATGTGAAAGAAAGAAAGAAAGAAAGAAAGATAATTACATTGGCAATACGTTTACTAATAGTGTATTGAAAAGTGATTGTTTTTGGTAAATACTGAGACGGAAAACGATAAAAATGAAATGAAAAAAAATAGGAGAAATATAAAGAAAAAATCGAATGAAAAAAAGAGGAAAAAAGAAAAAGAAAAAGAACACTGTCTAAAATTCTGAGAAGAAAAAAAAAAAAGACTAAAAAAGATTAAAAAAACTATCCTCGTCTTTGTCAGAAAATTTTACTATGGCCATTGCACATAAAAGTATTTTTCGTACATATTGAAATGTCGAATAAATAACATGCACATGAAACGAAAACTTTATGGAAATAAAAAAGAAAAGAATATGATTGGAAAGAAAGAAAGAAAGAAAGAAAGAAAGAAAGAAAGAAAGAAAGAAAGAAAGTAAAGGGACAAATCGGGTTAGTAAAGAAAACAAAACAAAAAAAATTGCAAATGAGCTCTGGTAAAAAAAATGAAAGCTGAAGAAAGAAAGAATTAAAAAAAGAAATTCATAAAACATGTCCAGAAGGAAATCAAAGATCTAGATCGAACTAAAGGACTCAAAGGAAGGAAGGAAGGAAAGAAAGAAAAAAAATAAGAAAAAAGACAAAACGTGATAGTTTTTAAAAAATGAAAACTGACATTCATTAAACAAAGCAAATGGAAGAAAAAAAGTCTAAACCAGTGTACAGAAATAAAGCAAAGATTCGAATTCGAACCAAAAGGAAGAAGAAGGAAAGAAAGAAATAAAATGGTGAAAAAAATGAAACAAAAGTCCTAATAATGAAAAGAAAAAAAAAAAAAGAACCAAAAGGACAAAAATTTTATGAACGAAAGAAACCATTGATATACATGATAGAAAGAAAAGAAAGAAAAGTTTGAAAGAAATAAATGATGAAATAAAAGAAAGTCAATAAGACAAATAAAGAAAGAATGAAAGAAAGAAAAAGACCAGAAAAAAGTGTTCAGAAAAAAGAAAGAAAAGATCGACACGAACAAAAAAAGAAAGGCCTTCTTAACCATTTTGAAAATTACAAAACAGAATTAATAAAGAAAAAAAAAAAATGAAAGAATGTTAAAAGAAAATGTTTTTTTTTTTGTTTTAAATATCAAAACCAAAAAAATCGAAATGAATTGAACTCAAAAAAGAAATATTAAAAAACCAGTACAGATTAGAATAAAAAATGGTCTATACAACAATAACTAAAGTTATAACAATTTTAAAAAAAGTAGGGGTTTATATTTTGAAAAAAAAAAAAAAAAAAAAAAAAAAAAAAAAAACGCGTTGATAAAGAAAAAAATACTAAAAAAAATTGATCGTATGGAAAAAAGCGATTATTAATCTCTGAAAAAAGCAAAAGAAATCAAACTTTCCAAATTTTAAAAAAAGTTTAAAAAAACTTTATCAGTGGGAAACTTATCTTTTATAAAAAAAAAAATCTGATTCATATAAATCAAAATTGGAATTTCGCGACAACTGGGTTTGAACTCTCAAATAGCAACCGATCCAGAACTTTCAAGAATTCAAATCAACATCATAAGAAGGGAAATTAAATGATTGAAAAGCTTCTCAAAACAATTAAGAAATTTTGATTTTGGGGGTTCTGATCTGGTTTAAACATCGTTTCGAACCCCCCATGGGAAAGCTAATTTAAAAAAAAAAAAAATGATTAAAATCTGTCCTCACAGAGATGAGAATAAAATCAAGATGTCGCGAAATAAGTTATTTATTAATTCCTTCGTCCATTTTGATGGAGGTGTTTGTTTACAAAAACCAGCAAAAATGGTGGAAAGGAAAGAAAGAATGTAAATATTTAATTGATATCGGAAAGAAAGGATTTTTTTTGGTGTTATCAAATATAACGGTAGAAAAAATTTGATAAGAAATCAGATTTAAAATGAAATAAGTTTATGTGGCGATTTGTTTTTGATTTTTTTTTTAATATAATTTCTCCACTTTAATATTCCATTTTTAAGGAAAAAAGATTGAAAGAAAAGTTCAGTTGATGCTGAATCAAAAAAGATTAAAAATGAAAAAAAAAAAAAATGTAATTGAAAAAAGAAAAGTAAAAATGTACAAATGATTGAAGAAAAAAAATAAATTCTGAAAATATTGAAAATAAGAATTTTTAGAAAGAAAAAAAAGACAAAGCTTTTTTTGTCAAGGAAGAAAAAAAAAAGAAAAAAAACGAAAGAAAGAAAAAAAAAAAAAAAAAACATAAAAGAAAGAAAGAAAGAAAAAAAAAAAAGAAAGAAAAGATTTTTAAATATTTTTTTTTTTTTTTTTTGTTTTAGAAAAAAGAAAGAAATTAAATGATTGAAAATTAAATGAAGAAAGAAAAGAAAGAAAGAAAGAAATTAAATGGAAAGAAGATGAAAAAAGAAAAAAAAGAAAAGAAAGAAAGAAATTAAAAAAAAAGAACGAAATTAAAAAGAAAGAAATTAAAAAATTAAAAAGAAAGAAATTAAAAGAAAGAAAGAAATTAAAAATTAAAAGAAAGAAATTAAAAAAGAAAGAAATTAAATGAAAAATTGAAAAAACGATTGAAAGAAAGAAAAGAAAAAAAAGAAAGAAACAAAAGAAAGAAAAGAAAAAAGAAATGAAATGAAAAAAATTAAAAAAAGAAAGAAAGAAATTAAAATTGAAAGAAAGAAAGAAAAAAAAAAGAAATTAAAATTAAAAGAAAGAAAAGAAATTAAAAAAAAGAAAGAAATTAAAAAGAAAAAAAAAAAGAAAGAAAGAAATTAAAAAATTGAAAAGAAAAAATTGAAAGAAAAAAGAAAAAAGAAAGAAAGAAATGATTGAAAAAAAGAGAAAAAAAAAAGAAAGAAAGAAAAGAAAATTAAATGAAAGAAAGATTGAAAAAAGAAAGAAAGAAAAAAATTAAAAAAAGAAATTGAAAAACGATTGAAAGAAAGAAAGAAAGAAAAAGAAAGAAATTAAAAAAAAAGAAAGAAATTAAAAAGAAAGAAAGAAATTAAAAAATTGAAAAGAAATTAAAAAAAAAAAAATTAAAAAAAAGAAATGAAAAAGAAATTGAAAGAAAGAAAGAAAGAAATTAAAAATTGAAAGAACGAAAAAAAGAAAGAAAAAAAAAGAAATTAAATGAAAGAAAGAAATTAAAAAAGAAAGAAATTAAAAAAAAGAAAAAGAAATTAAAAAAGAAAGAAAAAAAAAAAAAGAAAGAAAGAAAAAAAAAAAGAAAGAAATTAAAAAAAGAAAGAAATTAAAAGAAAGAAAGAAAAGAAAGAAAAAAAATGATTGAAAAACTGAAAAAGAAAGAAAAAAGAAAGAAATTAAAAATTGAAAGAAAAGAAAGAAAGAAATTAAAAAAAAAGAAAGAAATGAAAAAAAAAGAAAGAAAGAAAAAAAGAAAGAAAGAAAAAAAAGAAAGAAATTAAAAAAGAAAGAAAGAAAAAAAGAAAGAAAGAAAATTAAAGAAAGAACGATTAAAAAAAGAAAGAAAGAAAGAAAAAAAGAAAGAAATTAAAATTAAAAAGAAAGAACGAAAGAAAGAAAAAAAAAAGAAAGAAATTAAAATTGAAAGAAAGAAAAAGAAAAAAGAAAATTAAAAATTGAAAAGATTGAAAAAAAAGAAAGAAATTGAAAGAAAAAAAAGAGAAAAAACGAAAAGAAAGAAAAGAAAAGAAAAGAAAGAAAGAAAGAAATTAAATGATTGAAAGAAAAGAAAAAAAAGAAATTAAAATTGAAAGAATTGAAAGAAAAAAAGAAAAAGAAATTAAAGATTGAAAGAAAATTGAAAAAAAGAAAGAAAAGAAATTAAAGATTGAAATTAAAAAAGAAAGAAAGAAAAAAAAAAGAAAAGAAAGAAAGAAAGAAATTAAATGAAAGAAAGAATGATTAAAAAAAGAAAGAAAGAAAAAAAGAAAGAAATTAAATGATTGAAAGAACGATTGAAAAAAAGAAAAGAAAGAAAAAAGAAAGAAATTGAAAAAAAAAAGAAAGAAAAGAAAAAAAAAGAACGAAAAGAAAGAAAAAAAATTAAAAGAAAAGAAAAAGAAAGAAAGAAAAAAAAAAAGAAAGAAAGAAATTAAAAATTGAAAGAAATTAAAAAGATTGAAAGAAATTAAAGATTGATTGAAAGAAAGAAAGAAATTAAATGATTGAAAGAAAAGAAAAAAAAAATTAAATGATTGAAAAAACGATTGAAAGAAAGAAAGAAAGAAAGAAATTAAATGATTGAAAGAATGATTGAAAGAAAAAAAGAAAGAAGAAAAAGAAAAGAAATTAAATGATTGAAAAGAACGATTGAAAGAAAGAAAGAAAGAAAGAAATTAAATGATTGAAAGAACGACTGAAAGAAATTAAAAAAGAAAGAACGATTGAAAGAAAGAAAGAAAGAAAGAAATTAAATGATTGAAAGAACGACTGAAAGAAAGAAAAAAAAAAAGAAAGAAAAAAATTGAAAAATGATTGAAAGAAATTAAATGATTGAAAGAAAAGAAAGAAAGAAAGAAATTAAATGATTGAAAGAACGAGAAAGAAAGAAAGAAAGAAATTAAAAGATTGAAAGAAAGAAAGAAAGAAAAAAGAAAGAGAATTGAAATTGAAAAGAAAGAAAGAAAGAAAGAAAGAAAGAAAAATTAAATGATTGAAAGAAAGAACGGGGACTGAAAGAAAGAAAGAAAGAAAAAAGAAAGAAAAAATTAAAATGATTTGAAAGAAAAAAGAAAGAAAGAAAGAAAGAAAGAAATTAAATGATTGAAAGAAAAAAGAAAGAAAGAAAAATGATTGAAGAAATTGAAAGATTGAAAGAAAAGAAAAAAGATTGAAAGAAAGAAAAAAGAAAGAAATTAAATGATTGAAAGAACGATTGAAAGAAAGAAAGAAAAGAAAGAAAAATTAAAATTGAAAAATGATTGAAAAAGAAAAGAAGAAAGAAAGAAATTAAATGAAAGAAAG